AATTGAAATGCATATAACATTTTAACGGCAGTGCATAATTAAAAAGAGTTCACAAATTACCCTACTGGCGTCCCAAGTAGGTCACCTATATACCCCATCAGCGTCCTGATGGGTCCACTTAATCCCTATCGGCATCCTAGATAGGTCCACTTAATCCCTGCGGGTTCACTTATACCTCACCGGCGTACCGGAGGAGCCACTTAATCCCTACCGGTGTACCGGATAGGTCCACTTATACCTCACCGGCGAACCGGATGAGTCCACTTGCATATTTAAAGTATTTCTAAATCTCTTTAAACATTCGAAAGCAGCAATATCATGTACTCAACATATCACTGAAATTGTTAATATGAATTTCACTGAAACCATTCATAACAATCACTTTCAATAACATTTCAAAAATAACCAGTCAAATATTTTCGGCTCAAATGAAGAAAGGTAGCAGTTCGTAAAGACATTCTAGCATAATTGCCAATCTAATATGTATAGAAAAACTCTTATAGAAATTCAAGAATACAGAATTATCACAATTTATGGGATGTCAATTCGCAAATAAACACTTCACAGACAATGCTATAATCAAATGCAAAAATATCAGTTTTCAAATAATAAGGCAGTCATTTGCACATGAAATTTACACTGTCTAAATATTCAAAAATAGTAGAAAGAAATCTCACAATTTTACTAAAAGCAAAAATATCACATTTATTTCTAATAATTTTACAGTATCTAAAATTTTCTAACAATAGACAAGAAAAATAAATAAATTTATTTCTAAGAATTTACAGCATTTAAAATTTCTAACATAGATAAAATATCACAATTTTATTAAAAAGATTATTTTTCAAAATAATGAGGTCGCTTGCGCATAAATTTATCGCGCCTAAAATTCATGATAATAAGCAAAAGTAATTATTTCATTTTATTTTTAAAAAGAACGGATTATTTTTCAAGATAATGAAGTCACTTACCTAAAATATTTGAGAGGGAGCTTCCGATAAAAATTCGGCTAAAAAGAGAAAGAGCTCACTGCGTTTCGACTAGAGAGAGAAAGATCTCAAAAATTTTCTAGGGTGGGAGTCCTCGCCTCTCTTATTTAAATTCTTAAGGCACCTTATTATTTTATTTTATTAAGTTACACCTCATACATGAGGTGTAACAATTATATTACACCTGAACGTTTAAAGCCCACGTCCAGCAAAAAAACTTAAACCAAAAGCTTTTGAAAGTAGTGATGGTCCCTAAGGACCATCATATGGACCATCACTTATTAAAAGTTTCTTTTTTTTTTTTTTTGAAATTTTAGGATTATTACATTCTTCCCCCCTTAAAGAAATTTAATCCTTTAA